GGGATGTGTGCTCAGAAGGTGGCGAGAGTGCCCATAAATAGTCGAACAGTGGGGACAAGTGTTCCTGAGTCCAGTCATGCAGCAGGAGACCCCTGTGCAGGAGTTCTGTCCCTGGGGCAGAATACTAGGGGAAGCCCTCAGGAAGACACCGATGTTCCAGCTAGGTTTAACTGAGGGGTATATTTGCAAGCTCAAATCCAGGGGTCAGGTTGGGTCTGGTGAAGCTCACTGGAGAGAGCCAGGAGGAAGTTGATGGGAAAGAGTTCAGTTGTCCTATGGTGGTGTCCAGGGGGAGGACTGACAGCTCATGGGGCCCCTGGGCAATAGGGGATCATGGGGCCCCTGTGTCCTTGACCACACTCAAAGCACATCCAAAAAAGCCTATAAAAGGTACCAGGGGCATTTCATGGGGCCCCCTACTGACCCTGGGCACTCTTGCAGTGCCTGAGTGCTCTAATGGTCAGTCCGCCCTTGGTGGTGTCTACATCTCCCTCAATAGGAAGAGCCTAGTGGCTATCAGAAGGAGGCAACCAACAATCCTGTGGCTAAGTGAGTAAATGACCCCAATGCTGAAGGGTAGTGACTGTGTGCAGCTTTTAAACTCTGGGAGGAGTACAGGTCACCATCAGCATAAAGATCCTGTGGGACATTCCTTGTTTTGTGCAGTGCAGCCAGAGGTTTCAAAGTCCTCAAGTCGTACAGTTTTACAGTTCGGGATATCCCATGCTTCCTATCACTAACCAAATTCATCATTCCCAATAAAACCCCAAAAAGAAACTCATAAACTAAACTTTCTCAACCTTTTCAACACAGAGGAACCTTTGAAGTAACTTTCCGGTCTCAGGGAACTTCTGCTTAATAAAATTGCTAATTCTACAACTCCTGATACATTAATGTGATGGTGAGTAGGAAGAATGCTCTTGTGGTTATTGGGAAGATTGACGCCTTTATAGAAGCTAAAAAGCTCAATGGTGTCAGTGGGAACTTATCTGAGAGGCAGATAATTGCTCATTGCTCAAGGAACCCCTAGCAACCTCTGAAGAAACCCTAGAGTTCCATGGAATCTGGTTGAGAAACCCTGCTCTAGACTGGAGCCAGTGGAAGAGTGGGGAAAATGCTGTGTGCCTGGCTGTGTGTGCTCTAGGGGGTAAATGGGACCAAACTCACCAGTGGCTCTTTAGGGGGTGCACTACATATGTAAAGCAATTATAACATTTCAGGCATGAAAACCAAAGCTGACAATCAAAGGAAACCAGAGTAATTGGCTGCAAACAATTGATTTTGTCTTATCAATATGATCAATTTAGTGATTAGGAAAGTTGCAATGAGTTTAAAGCAGCAAAAATGATCAATATGCTTAAAATGATCCCAGCCCCAAAGATGTTAATACATCCATATTGAGGATTACTTGCATTAGTTTCTCCTGAATTACTTTCCCTTTTGTGAATATTGATGGTCTTATATTGTCCTTTAGAGGAGGAATTGACTAAAACGGCATGGGTAAAGCAGCAGAACATGGCCCTGGAAGAGCTAGACACAGCAGGAAGTCCTTCCACCCTCTGAACTCCAACGACAAGCTTCAAATACTAGCACTACTAGCAAGTGATGTTTTCCATGTGTACCTGGGTGCCAAAAAGACATTTTTTCCCCTTGGCATTTGTTAAAGTAAACATTTCTGAGAAACATGGAGGCTGCCATTAGAGGACCTCCTGCCCGGCTGTCATGCTGACTCTCAGGTCTCAATAATAAGTCAACGACCTGGAACAAGTACAAGCTAAGAAACCCAACACAAAGCCTGAAGTCCTTATCAACATACTTGTTTTAGGTCATTGAAGTGGAACTAAACCCATCAATTTAATGGTTTAAAAAAACAGTTACATTGCTTGTGCTCTCAACCACTGTCAAACCATCAAATGGCTAGTGTCATAACTGATCACATGTGTAGAACCATGGCAGATCAAACAGAGGCTAAGATGGCAGATTCCTTGGCCGAAAAGGACAGGAGGGTTTAGTTCCACTTGACGATATGAAGCCAGAAGATGAAAATGACCGGTAGAGAAGTAGCATGGCAAAGATGTATTTCTCAGGAGAGGTTTCTGTACATTTCACACTTTGTGGGTCATTTACATATTATGGGGCTATCTTAGTGATGTAGAAGAATGAAAGTCCCCAGCTACAGAGGAGTTGACTCATGATAACAGAATGACTCCAATTAGTCTGATTCTTTTTGTTTCAAGAGCATTGCCAGAAGATAAAGAAGATAATCAGTAACTGGAAGATGCTCTACAGAAAAACATAGCAAAAATAAGAGGAAGGGGAGGTGGGGGGGGTTCGATTCTACAGAGAAGGGAGAGGGGAGTAGGAAGAGGAACAGAGAGGAACATGGGAAAGGGAAGTGGAGAGGAATGTGGGAAAGGGAAGTGGGAAAGGAGAGGAACATGGCAAGAGAGAGGAAAGAGATCATTGATAAACGAGAGGGAGGTGGTGAGAGGAAATGGTAAGGGAGAGGAAAATGATAACAAAAGGGTAGCAGAAGAAAAAGGGAAGTGGTACGAAAGGTACGAAGTAAAACAGAAAGGGAAGTGAGAAGGGAAAGGAAAGCAGTTAGAAAGAGGGAAGTGAAAAAGGAGAGGAAAACAGTAAAAGAAAGGGAGAAGGGAGTGACAAGGGAGAGTAAGAGGGAAGTGGTAGGAGAAAAGGAGAGGGGAGTGACAAGGGTCAGGGAAGTGATAAAGGGAAGGGGAAGAGAAAGTGGTAAGGGAGAGGGATGTGGTAGGAGAGTGGTTAAAATAAAATATAGGGGGGAAAAAGGAGAGGGAAGTGGTAAGGGAGGAGAAATGGAGATAGAAGTAAAATGTACAAGAAAGTGGTAAAGAGAAGTAAGTGGAAGAGATATGGATAGGACTTTTGAGAGGAAGATAGAAGTGGAAAGCAAAGGGGAGAGGGGCGTGGCATAAGAAAGGGTAAGGGAAAGTGTGAATGTGTATAGGGCAAGGGAGCTGGGAGTGAAGGAAAAAGAAAGTGGGAGGGGAGGGGAGAGGGAAATGGAGGGGATGAAAAGGAAGAGGAAAGTGGGAAGGAAAAGTAGGAGGGAAGGAGTCAGGGAAAGGGAGAGGGAAATGGGAAGGGAATGTAAGAGGGAAGGAGTACAGGAAAGGGAAGTTGGAAGGGAACATAAGAGGGAAGGAGTATGGGAAGGGGAGAGGGAAGTAGGAAGGGAATATAAGAGGAAAGGAGTACGGGAAAGGGAGAGGGAAGTAGGAAGGAAAAAGTGAGAGGGAAGGGGCAAGGTACGTAAGAGGGAAGGATTAGGGGAAAGGGAAGTGGGAAGGGAACTTAACAGGGAAGCAGTAGGGGAAAAGGAGAGGGAAGTGGGAAGGTACATGAGAGGGAAGTGGGAAGGGAAAATAAGAGGGAAGGGAAAGGAAAAGGGAGAGAGAAGTAGGAAAAAAAAGTGAGAGAGAAGAAGAAAGGGAGTGGGAAGTGGGAATGAAAAGTAAGAAGGAAGGAGTAGGGGAAAAGGGAGAGGGAAGTGAGAAGGAAGAGGGAAGTGGCAAGGAAAAAGTTACAGCAACTCAGGAGGGAATTGGAAACGGGAAGGGTGATGGTAAAGGAAAATGGCAAGGAAGAGTAAGGTAACAAAAAATGGTAAAGGAAAGGGAGACAGATTTGGCAAGAGAAACAAAAAGGAAAGAGGTAAGGGAAAAGGAAGAGAAAAATAAATAATGAAGTGAGAATGAATTAAAGTAAAAACAGAACTGGAAAAGAAAGGAAAAGGAAATGAACTGGTAAAAGAAAAAACGTGTAAAATGGTACATATTACCCATCCAGGGTGGTGGAACCAATTCTGTCCAAAGAGTCAGCATATGATTTGAGGAGGAAGTATCATCGGGTCATAAGTTACACAGTGCCCCCTTTTCCCCCCCCCCCCCTAAATTTCATGGTACAACAATTGGGGCATTTTCTGAAACATCAGAGCACCCTACAGAAAGGTGAATTCCATGGTGCACAATGACAGGTACACTTTATCCCTTTGTGTTTTTGGTCTGGTTTGCAATTTGTTTGAAATTCTCTAAAATGCTTAAAGAGCTCGTAGAGATCTGACCATAGACTGACAACATTTCACTGGAAGGACCATGAACTTAGCTGATCAGGTGGTGATTTCTGCAGTAAGACCTGTCAGTGGTACAATCCAAACTGGCATTTATACAATAATTTAAAGTAAAATTAGACAAGCGTGTGGAACATTTGTTTAGTTTGTGAAGACGTATGTTGCATGTGTACATGTATGCATACACTCTTGAAATATTTACTTTCGGCTGGATCTCAAAGAGAACCTGTCACCCAGAAAACAGACAACAGCTCTTGGACAAGCAACAGTTGACCAAGCAGATAGGATAATATGTTTTTTGCAGAGTCAGTCATGTCTAACATATTGTTGCAATGACATAATACATTTGAGAGCACCCAACTCTGCAACGTAAATGGGTGAAAACTTCCACTTTTCCACAGAAGTTTTTTTGGCAAGGCAAGCATGAATTTAACAAGTGAAAGTGATGTCTGCAGGGATCTGCACAGGTGACGGATTCACTTTAAGGCCAGGTGTCTGAAAAGCACAGATTATTTTAACATTTCTGCATTCCGCTTATGTCGAAACAGATAAAGACTTGAGAACCTAGTGTCACATGACTTCCGCAATGTTTGATTGGCTGTCTACATTTGTCCTTAGGATCCAGATCTGTCATGGAGGGTAATGCAGATGAAGTTTTGAAACTGGGATAGTTTTAACAGAAAACAAAAATGAAACTGGCACTTTCCAAATGATGCCAAACAGTGACGGTCTTGTCCTGGTGGTAAATGGCAAGGTTTTTCAAGACAAGTTTGAGCAAAAGAGCTTACACTTCAACCAGCCCATTTTCAAAACTGTCATATCATGTCAGTTTAACCCCATTATGTATAAATACAGACACTGTGATATTAGCTGGTGGTGCGCAGGCGGGCTACTGTGCACGCTGCTTGCGCTCCTCCTCGTTGCCCGGATAATAAAGATGGCACTCTGGGTCCCCTCGTATGGTGGGTGCTCCAGTGATCGGCTTGCCGTTCTGGGGATTGACGCACCAGCACTCTCCTCGCTGACCATTCACGGACATCTTGCACTATAAGAGTAAACAATGGAATATATTAGAATAGGAAATCTTGCCCATTACCCCTCCCCCAGTGCATGCCAGGCAAGGAAATGTATTCCTTCACCAATTATGAATACTTTTTATTATTTTTTACCAATGGAATGGTTTAGATCAAAGCATATTCATGCGTTAGAATGGCCCAGTCAAAGTCCAGACCTAAATACAATGGAGAATCTGTGGCAAGACTTGAAAATTGCTGTTCCCAGACACCCTCCATCCAATCTGACAGAGCTTGAGCTATTTTACAAAGAAGAATGGGCAGAAATGTCCCTCTCTAGATGTGCAAAGCTGGGAGAGACATCCCCAAAAAGACTTGCAGCTGGAATTGCAGCGAAAGTTGGATCTACAAAGTATTGACTCCAGGGGGTTGAATACAAATGCACAACACAGTTTTCAGATATTTATTTGTCAAAAATTTTTAAAACCATTTCTGATTTTCCTTCCACTTCACAATTATGTGCCACTTTGTGTTGGTCTATCACATAAAATCCCAATAAAGCACATTTACGCTTTTGGTTGTAACGTGACAAAATGTGGAAAATGTCAAGGGGTATGAATACTTGTTCAAGGCACTGTATATCGATTACTTTGTTATCTCAAGTAATGACAAAGTTATAGCCAAATAAACAGGTCCATAGCAGAAATGTAAAATTGCTCTGGTCCATAGGGGGCGCAAAGGGGTGAGAGGGGAAATTCATAAAACCAACAGAGCTGCTTTCCAATTCCACTAACTGAGCCCATTGTCTGTCAAGCCATCGTACCTGTTTGAGGTTGAAGAGGCCGTGCTTGTCGCAGTTGGGGATGTGAAGGGCGTAGAGGTGTTCCAGCGGTCCCCTCTCGTCAGGAAGGTTCATGGATGAGATCCTCTCCAGGACCTGGTCCAGCTGCTGCTGACACAGACTCTGCACAAAGCACATCACACTATTATAGACTGCTCCTTGATGATAATAACTGGACAGCTACAATTTACAACATACTACAATTATACCATAGACCGTATACAAAATATTACATAATGCAATAATAACAACAATATATACACAGCTGTGCTGAAAAGTTTACATTCCCAGACAGAAATGGTGAAATTTTGGCATTGATATTGAAAATTTGACTGATTTGCCAAAAACTCCTTTATTTAAGGATAGCGATTATGTGAAGCCATTTATCATCACATAGTTGTTTGGCTCCTTTTTAACCTCCCTGGCGGTATTCCCGAGTGTAGTTCGGGGGTAAAATGTCAGTAGCAAAAGCGGTAACCCCGAGCTACACTCGGGCTTACCATGCGGCGCTGCACTGGGATTCCCTGCAGAGCTTACCTTGTCCTTTGCTCCCCGCGATGTGTCCCCTGCAGCGTCCCCGGCCATCTCCTCCGGCCGATGCCGGCATCTGGCTTCTGTGTTCCGGTCCCTGTGACGTCGGGACGTACAGGCGCCGCCACCGGCGGCGGGAAATTTTAAAATTTAAAAAAATGTCATTTTTTTCCAAACAAATTTTACATTGTAAAATTTACATAGTAAAAAAGCTGTTTCAACCCATTTCACATACATTTTGTCCCGAGTGCTTTGTCCGGCGCCCTGCCTGCATTTTGTCTGTTCTTTCTGCCTGGAAACTGAGAAACGTCCATGGCGTCCAAAAAGCGCCCCTTTAGGTCAAAAGCTTTTAGACCGGCTAGAGAACAGCGATAGTAAATCAGAACCACTTGCAGAATTGAGTGATAATGATTCGTGGGGGAAATTCCTCATCAGACACTGAAAACGTTTTTGCGACTTTGCTCAGCGATGTGCGAACTTGGCACTCTATTTCAAATTTCAGTGTTTTTGGTTTGATTATATTATTGAATTAAATGTATTATTATCATATTATTATTTTTTTATGATTATTTATTAAATTATAATTTATGATTTCGTGATTCAAACTTTATCATACCCGGGATGTTTACTAGACTCTTGTTCGGACAGATTTCAGTGAGTTATTCCTAAAAATTACAGCCTACAATAAAAAAAACTACACATTTCCATGGAAAAAAATGGTACCGCTTTCAGCACCAAAAATCTGAAATAATCATACCGCTAGGGAGGTTAAATCATAATGATAACAGAAATCACCCAAATGGCCCGGATCAAAAGTTTCCCTCCCCTGGAATGTTGGGCCTTGGTATAGACACACAAGGTGACACACACGCAAAGTTATAATGGCAATAAAAAATTAATTTTCCACATCTGTGGCTTTTTAAATTGCAATTAGTGTCAGTGTATAAATAGTCAATGAGTTTGTTAGGTCTCACATGGATGCACTGAGCAGGCTAGATACGGAGCCATGGGGAGCAGAAAAGAACTGCATAACAAGGTAATGGACTTTCTAAAGATGAAAAATTATATAAAAAGATATGCAAAGTCTTGAATATGCCAGTCAGTGCTGTTCAATCGCTTATTAAGAAGTGGAAAGTTCAGGGATTTCTTGATACCAAGCCAACGTCAGGTAGACCAAGAAAGATGGCAGCCACAACTGCCAGAAGAACTGTTCGGGATAAAAAGAAAGATGGAAATTGGAATGTCAAAGCAATTTAGAAAGAGATTAAAGTGTTAGTTCACCTTTACAGAAAAAAATGAAAAGGTCCCAAACCCTCGCTATACTTACCTCCGGGCATGATGAGCTGTCAGTGCCCATGTACCCAATGCAGCAGTCCAAAGATTTGAAATCCCCACTCTTCTCCCTCTTCTCTCTACAGCAATTACAGGACAGACCTGACTGATTCATTTTGCAGGTGCTGACCAGAATTGCTCTGTTTCATCCCAGAGCCCAAATTCACAGACCACTGGACTGACTGCATAAAAGAAAAATCTATTCCCCTGATAAGATTGGGACTATGGGGCAGTGCTGGTCAATGAGCCAAGATATCAGAGGCAAAACATTTTTTTTTTAAATTGTAAATAGTATATTTTTACATGAATCTTAAAAACAGCTCTGCAAACATGTTAGTGGTTATAGTTACATAAGAATACAATCAAACGATGTAAAGATGCTGAAAGCTGATGTTGTCTGGGCACGCTATCATCCGCCAATGCCACTGGATTCACCCCATACAGTCGGGAACAAAGTCCACATCCAAGCTGTTGGCAATTAATGATGTCTTAGTATGTATAAAGATTAACCAAATAAGAAAAACAGAAAAGAACCAAATAAGAAAAAAAGAAAAGGGGGCCACTTACTTTGAAGACCTATAATTTTCTATGATGGTTTTGATAATATATATATATGGATCCAAAGAAAACCAGTTAGTGGGTAGAGCAGCGGTCTCCAAACTGTGGCCCGAGGATCGGATATCGCCCTTTGCTACCCTTTATCCAACCCTGGGAGCACTATTCCTCCCACTGAGACCAACAATGGGGCAGCACTTCTTCCATTGAAACTAGTTATGGTGTACTATTCTTCCCACTAGAACCAATGATGGTGTACTATTCTTCCCACTAATACCAATGAAGGGGCACTACTCCTCCTACTGACCATCAACCATGAGGCCATGTTTATTCTCACTGACGCTGGGGCCAACACATATTCTATCCTCACTGGCCCTAATTTGGCCCTCCTAAAGTCTGAAGGACCATATACTGGCCCTTTTCTTGAAAAGTTTGGAGACCCCTAGGGTAGAGGATAACTCTATATTGGCTGTGATATTCAAAGATGGGGGGCTCATTATGCATAGGGAGCAGTGTTTCTCCCCAATCCAGGGCAATAAGAGCTGCATAAAAGACTATATATTATAGATAAATTATTAAAAGAACCAAAAACCTAACTGCTAGAAAAGCCCCTGGTTGGTCACTACTGTCATACCTTGATAGGTGGTATACAGCCCGTATAGGTAGGCTAGGTGGTGTGTATGTGCACAGCAAGGCAAGGACAGCTAATGATGCAGCCTTATAAAGCCCCCACAGGATTTAAAAGCAGCCAATTAAACATTCACAAGAAATTGGAACATTGCCAGGCCTGGGGATGGACCAATCCCAGCTCTAGGCACACACGCGGCGCCTGGCATAACCCCATCCATAGAGGCAGGATGAGGTCATGCAGCCCAAGACCAGAGCAAGGCCCAAGCAGCAAAGAGAGGATCAAGCCTCAATCCGGAACATGGGACCATGCGACTATGCCCACAAAGAAGGCCGCCCTAGCGGCGGGCGGCCCACATGTTCCAGGTGGTAGTATGCAGATGACGGGGTCCACACATCCCATCTAAAAAAGTATACACAGCACTCTGTGCATTCAGAGCATACGAATAAGCCCACGTAGCAAAGATTGACTGTGCTAAAATTAACAATAAATCATAAGAAAATGGAAAATACAAAAGGGAAAATTAGGAGGGTGTAGGGATTTGGGAAATGAGGAGGAGAAAAACAGGATGAAAAAAGGAGGATGCAAAAAAGTGGGGAAGGCAATTAATACCCTGGCACAAAGATATTTGTCACCCACTAGATAGAGGACTGGAATATATAATTAATTATTGTGGCTCAAAGCCATTGAAGGTATAACTAGACAATGACTGTACATCAATAATGAGTGAGCGAGGGATATTACTCTTCCCAACCTCCGGAAGTGAATCCGTCTACATATGACCTATAGGACATAGATTCACTTAAACCTGGAGGAGATGAGGCACCAAGTTTTAAACATCCATCTGAGCTCACGTTGAAGGAGCATTTTCAATTACCCCCCCCCCGTGAGCTCAGGTGTATTCGGTCAAGAACGAGGAAACAAATTATCGGCAAGTCCCTGAATGTGCATCTCTAATGTGTCGACCTAACGGGAGATCTTTATTGCAAGGTGTCATACTGGAGATGTGACGATATGATCGCTTCCAGAACTCTAATTTTGTTTTTCCTACATAAAAACTATTGCAACCACATTGGAGCAAATAATCAACCCCTTTGGTTTTGCAGTTCGCAAAGTGTTGGGGCTCAAATTTAAGTCCTTGTGAGAGTGTGATGGATTTGCGAGTGTCCATATATTGGCAATAATTACAGCCCACATTTAAATGTTCCAAGGAGTTTGCATGGGTCACCACGACTGGTGCCCCTGTATTCACTTTGCACCACATCGTCACATATAGATATTGCTCTTTTAAAGGTGAAAGCTGGTCTGTCTGATACAAATGGACTTATATTGTGATCAATTGTAAAGAGATGCCAATATTTCTGTACAATTTTATAAATATTGGCTTGTTGATTACAGAACTTCATAATAAATCTAGTTGTATTTGCCTCTTTGGTGATTTTTTTTTACGATATATCTTGTCTTGTTTGGGGTTTTTTTCTTGTTTAAATGCCTTTTTTAGACATTAGCGCTGCAAAAGGATTAATACCTAAATTTTGGCAGGTTCCAGGTCCCCCAACAATGAGAGATTGGATGAGGAGGATTGAATATATATGCACAATGGAGGAGTTATACCACATAGAGGAAGATAAAAAGGAAAAATTTACAAAAGAATGGAATAGGTGGTACATTTTTAAATCATCAGAAAAATATCTCAGGATAATGAGTACTAAGTAGGTCGATTTAGAGATTTAAACTGAACAACTGTTGAGTGGTAATCTTGAAGACTGACTATAGGTTGTTAATAGAAAGGTTTAGAATGGCATAGGTAGAATATAGATTGACAAAGGGAGTTATGGGGATAGGGGGAGAGGTTGAGAAGGGGTGGGGGTATAGGAAAAGGACAGTTAATGTTGTTTATGTTTGATAATGTATGTATTGTTTTAATTTGTACTGAAATAAAATTTAATAAAAGACATTAATAATTAAAAAAAATGCCTTTTTTAGACAAGTAGGAGAATAACCTCCTAAGAGCAGTCATTCTCTCGGTGTATCTGCCTCTATTTTAAACATGTGGTCCACAGAGAAATTGCGAT